TCATCCAATTTTTTAAAAAGTATTAGAGAATATGATTCTGGAGTTGATGTGGGGGGAAAAAAAGCAAGCGAGAATAAACAGAAAAAATATTTTTTATTTATTTTTGAGGAAGATTAGCTCTGAGCTAACTGCTGCCAATCCTCCTCTTTTTGCTGAGGAAGACTGGCCCTGAGCTAACATCCATGTCCATCTTCCTCTACTTTATATATAGAACGCCTACCACAGCATGGCGTGCCAAGAAGTACCATGTCTGCACATGGGATCTGAACCGGCGAACTCCAGGCCGCTGAAGCAGAACGTGTGCTTTTAACCACTGCGCCACTGGCCGGCTCCTACACAGAAAAATTCTTAAAATAAAATCAATTATAAAACTACAGTAATTAAAAGGATGTGGTACTAGCACATGAAAAGATAAACAGATGAGTGGAAGAGAAAATCCAGAAATAGACTCAAACACATAAAGGCCTTTAGTATATGATAAAGGCGCCATTTCAAACTAGAGGGTAAACAGTGAATTCTTCAATAAACATAGTGTTGGGAAAGTCACTGTGTGTTTGTAAAGTTATACCCTCCCTCCCATGATTTCAAAATAAGTTTCAGATGGATAAAAGACTGAAACATAAAAAATTAAACCATTAAAATGCTAAAGAAAACCTGGGAGCGTTTAACAACCATCTTGAAAGGAGAATGCCTAAGTATGACACCACACATAGGGATAAGGGAAAAGATCCATTAAACTATTTAAAAAACCCGTTTTTTTGCATGGCAAAAACAAGAGTAAAGTAAGGATGAAAACAATGATGTGGACAATTTTCCTCATAAGTAAAGTGTTCCTTCAAACTGATCAGAATAAACCAACTCCCACTAGAGAAATGAGCAAAGAATAGGGACAGTTAAAGAAAAGGAAAATGCTCAACCTTATTCCTAGTAAGGGACACCAATTTCTGTGCGATAGATTGTCACAGATCAAAAAAACTAGGAACACAGCATATGGGAGAAGGAGTGGAAAACAGAATTCTTATATATTGCTGGGGGGAGTGTAAACTGTCACACCTTCTTGGAGAGCAATTCGGCCACATTCCCTTTGACCCAGAAATTCTGCATCCAAAAATGTATCCTAAAAAAAGTCTTGCAAATGTGAGAAATCGCATTTATCCAAAGATATGTATTGTAGCAATTTTCCATATTCAACGATTGCAAACATTCTAAGTGTTTATCAGTAGAGAATTGACTAATTCTCATATGTTCATATCATGGAATACTATGCAGCTGCTAAAAGTAATAAGGCAGTTTTATATGAATTAATATAGAAAGATATGTAAGATATTTGTTAACTGAAAAAAGCAAAGTAGGGGAAAATATGTATAATATGCTATACTTTTTTTTAACATAATGTATCTATGTGTGCATACACAATCTCTGGAAGGATACACAAGAGACTGCTGGCCAGGAGAGGAGCTGAGTGGAACTGGGAAGCTGTGGGACAGAGTTGGGAGGGAAATTTCCTTATATATACTTTTACTGTATCTTCTTTTGTGTCTTTGGAGTTTCATATCATGTAAAGGGATTACCTATTCAAAAGACAAATAAAAAAATTCTTGAAATGTTTAAAACCTCAAGAGAGAAATAGAGACAGAGACAGAATGAGTCTTTGAGCACAGAATAAGTAGCAGGAGGAGAAGGCACATGAACCAGGACTCAAGAGAGGTTTGATTTTGTACTTCTTCAGAAATACGCACTTATAGAATCATAGAATTCCAAGGTGAGAAAGTGTTAGAGATTCCCCAGACCCACCCTTATTCTGTGGCAGAGGGAAGGATGATCTAGAATAAACATTTGCTGAGAAGAAATCTGAACTGCTCCCCAGGCAGACATTAAGATCTGAACACCAAGAGAGAACAGTTCGGGAGCTGGCAGGCAACCCAGACACTCCTTCCTGTCCTCAGTCAGTCTGACAGGCTTTGCCTTCCTCTGGTCCCTGGAGAGCACCTTCCACTGCCCACTGTGCCCCGCTCCAGCCCAGGCCTCGTTCAGAGGAACCCAGCAGGTGCCTGCTGCCTGACGCCTTGTTCTGCCTTCTGGAATCTCGAGGCAGTGCCCGAGATGCCCAGCAAGCTGGCCATGGTCCCCACCATCTGTGACTGAGAGCCACTCTTCTTGAAGTCTGTGAGATGTCAGGGTCGTCTTTGATCCCCGTTTCTCCCCAGAGCATCAGGTGGCCTTCCTAGGATCTTCCTGTCCCTGGTCAGGTGGCCTTCCTGGGATCTTCCTGTCCCTGGTCAGGTGGAGAGTCTGCACCCTGGGTTCAAAGTCTCACTTCTCATTTAACCCCAAAGTCCTATGAGTGATGATAAAAGCATTGGTGGTGACTGTAGTCTCACTCATCTTTAAGGGCTCTCTATCTGTCTTTATATCTGTCCATCTATCTTCAGATCACAGCTCTCACTGGATCCTCACAGCAACCCCATAGGGCAGATCTGATCCCCACTTACCAATTGACAGCAAAATATTTGTACAAAGATTTGTTTTCTAAGTACTTTCCCGTACACTATCTCATTGCAGCCCCCCAGTACCCTCATATAGGCAAGGAAAGTTTTATTAACCCAGATATATAAATGAGGATATTATGGAGACAGCCGTGAAGTAGTGGACCTTTGGGATAAGAACACGTGGGTTTGAGTCCTAACTCAATGGATTCTTTACACTATTTCCTCCAGTGCAAAGTGGGCATAATAATGTCTATATCCTCTGTCATCACACTGGATTGTTGTTAAGATTAAATGACTTTGGTTCAAAAGAGTTTCAATAATTAGCATTCTAATGATTTCTCGTTTCTCAACCTAGTCTGTCATTTAAAATTTATTCTTATTTCAAAAATGTTTTACAAAAGAGCAGAGAATAATGTAACGAACTGATGAACCCATCGCTCTCTTCAACAATTACCAGCACAAGGCCATTCTTGTCTCAGCTGTACCCCTGCCCACTCCTCCTTTTTGCCTTACTGACCAATTTTCACAACAATGAAGTATTTCCCTAACATCTTCAAAATGCATTATTTGGGGCCCTAAAAAATATTCTTAGGGATTCATAGATTTAACCATATTTGTTATGTTTCAATCTGTTGCTGTTATGATCCTTTTTGATGCTCAACTTGACTGTGGAAGCCTTACTCTGGTTGGCTTCTGCGTCCTTTTGCCATGACACTAGTAGCCTTGACGCTTGCTTTGCTTTTTTGGTGTAACGAGATGTTCTAGGCTCATCTTGTGCCTTTGCTGCATCAGACGTTTCTCCTAGGAAGCCTGATTCCTTTATGGGGGAGGGTATTTAGAGTTCAGGGTCTGATTGCTGGGGTGCTCTTTCCTACCAGGATGCCCCTTGTTTCTAGGTTTTATAGGGAACAGAGCTAGGGAGTGTGTGTGTGTGTGTGTGTGTGTGTATAAGATAAAACATGTGGAGTTCATACTGATACACCTGGTGCACGATCAGGACTACTGAATTTTCACCTGATCTCGTCAATCTTATATTTGTGTCTCCTTTCAACAAGAAACTCTTGTTTCTCAGCAACATCAGTATTGTGACTCATTTGATTTATCCCTGGATACACCTACAAAAGTCTCAGCATAACAACAACAACGAAAATAATAATACTGGAGTACCACCGATATGATTATTGGAAACAGTTTACGGGTGGGGGGGGGGATGGGACAGTTCCTTTTATCCTTAAAATATATCCCTCCATGGAGCCACAGTCAAATCACTGGGTTTTAATTTCTCTGTGTGTAGTCGTACCAACCAAGTGGACACATAGACTCACTACATTTTATTTTTACTTTAGGGATTTCTTTTAAAAATATTAATTGTGTCTTATAATTATGTCAGATATTTACATGTTCCAAAGCAAATCCACAAGGTCCGTTCCAAGTCCAGCTTCTGTCCCTGTCCCCTCCACCTCGTTCCTACCCCTCCCTGTAGGTCTCTATCTCTTACTGTCTTTTTAAAAATATAAGCAAATACATATATATCTTTGCATTCTTACCCCCTTTCTTAAATAAATGGTAGCGTATTAAACACACTTTTTCCTGTCATGTTTTTTTCACTTAACTGTAGTCCTGGAGATCACAGCATGGGCGTATAGGATAGATTCCAAGCAGATGCCTGGAACTGGGATGCGGGTCAAAGAGTAAATGCGTACTTGTTTCGATAGGTATTGCCACATTCCCCTCTGCAAAGGTGGATTGTACCATTTCCTGCAGATACATTTTCATATTAAAGCAAATGACTAAATGAGATGTTATCCGTACTGAGAAAGGTTCAATGATTGCCCAAAACGACAGGAGCCGGGACCTGAGCCTCTAAAATGCTGACTAATGGCCCAGTGGCCTGACCCACTCTACCGCACCTTCTCCCCATTCTACAGATGAAGAAACTGAGACACTTGTAGGGAAGTGATCCATCCTAAAAGATGTAACCGGCTAGAACTTGCAATCCACGTCCCCGACCCTAAAGTTAGATCTTCTTTCAATGTGTCCTAGATTTATTTATGATGAACTCGGTTTGATTACGTGTAGATGGGGAAGAAAAACAATAGTTCTCCATAGTAAGTTAAGAAAATTAATGAGATAATTGTGGGTAAATTCTCCCTCCCTTGGGTGTAGGAGAGATTCTTCGAGATAACGGCTTAACTCCTTTAGGTGGATGAGGAATTGGCAATTAGATTATGGTGTCAGGGCACTAATAATGATCTGATGGATGAGACAGCTGATCCCCCGCCCCCCCCCAAAGGCTCACATGCTTGGGCACCCTGCAGAATCTGTCCCATTTCTTGCAGAGTGCTCTGAACGTCTTTGAACAAAGATGCCGTTATGCTATGCAAAACTTTCCAAATGAGGGTGGACAAAGATGTAATTTCCTGAGTAAAGGAACAAGCTGCAAACCACAAAGGCTTTTCTTTTTCTTTCCTAGAGTGACCCTGGGTTTTTTTTGTGCTTGCTTTGACACAGGTTGATTGACGTATGTGCCATTTGGGATACTGGAGTTCTCCCTCCCACCGCAGACTGGAAGGGAGCCTCCTCGGGGGTTGCAGGGGCGAGGCTGAATGAGGCAGAGACGGTGAGTGGGGCTGGGGCTGGGGCACATGTCCCCGGGGGAGGGAGTGGGGGAATTCTTGCCTCCTGTCCCTTCTCTTTGATGAGAGAAGGTCCTTTGCCTAGTCCCCGAAATCTTCTGAGAGGACATCCCCTTCCTTCTCCCGGAGTCGGCCGCAGAGCCGGGCGTCGAGGCCTCCTCTCAAGGAGGCTGGCGCATGGGAAGCCCTCGCTCCTCCTGCTCCATCAGAGGCAGTCAGCCAGCGTTAGCCTTGCCTTGTCCCGACTGTCCACCTTAATTGAAACATTGGGAAACAGCTTTCTCTGTGACCCACATCCCTTCTTAGCCTGGCCTCCACAACCTGGGAGCCCTCTGAGTGACAGCCCCGGCATATGGGGGACAGTCCGGAACCCCTTCCTTGGGCGGGGCATTGGGCCCTGGCAGATGCTGCCCAGGGCGCAGTAAGCAGCCGAGGCTGACATCACTGAAGCCACACTCTGTGTCCGGGGCTGCACGGTTCCATCCTGGGTTAGAATCTCCTGCTGCTCCCAGCAACTCCTGTTTTAGTCTCAGGCCGTGGGTGGCAGGAGAGGACATGCCAGAAATGAGGGCTGTAGTTTTAACCAAGGGGTGATTGTCAGTGAATCACAGGCCAGCAGCCTAGGGGCTGCCAGGCTGGGGCGTCTGACCTGGAGCCCTGAACAGAAAGATTTCCTTATTCTTGAGTGTGGGTGTCTCTGCCTCATTTCTCTCTCTCACTCCAGCTCCCTCTCCATGTGTCTTCTGTTGTCTGGAAAGAGTTGGAGATGGGTCTGGGGGCACGCAGGGAGGGGTTGAAAGGCGGGAGCAGAGCATGCTGATGACGTGGATTTCGGGTCTGGACAGAGTCCAGCTCTACTTGCTTTGTGACCTTAGGAAAGTTTCTGACCACTCCAGGTCTGAGTCTCCTGGTTGTACCTGGGGACAATAGTGAACATCTTGTTGTAAAGATTAACCCTACAAGGAGCCCTGCCCAGTGCCTGGCTGACAGCTGGTGTTAGGCCGTGACGTCGTCGTTTCTCCTGTCGACAGTGGCTCAGATGGACTTGTTCTGTGCAGGTAGTTTCTGTGAGGGCCCTTTTAGGGCTACAACTTGCCTTAGAACAGAGTCAGGTTTCAGGGGCCACCTGGGAACTCCATCTGACCACGGGCTTTTTCACCCCATCACGTTGTTACTAACTATGGGACTTGAGCACGCTGACCGGCAGTGGCGGGGGACACCGTCCTGTTGATTTGCTGCCTTGGGAGGATTCTGATTACCTAGCAGCCCAGGTTGTTATAACGGGCATGGAAATATGTGGACAACAGCGTGAGAACAGATCCCCAGGTTTGTGCCAGGATCGGGAGCTAGTCCAGCTTTGTGTCACTATGCCTGCTCTCTTGGCACTTTTTCTTGTCCCCTCCCTACATCCTCCCTCTGTGCCCCCCAGAGCCCCTCCACAGCCCTCCCTGGGCACAAGCACTCTGGCTCGCCTATTGAGATCCCCGCCTGAGGAGCCTGGGGTCCTCCCTTCTCTGACGGTAGCAACATCACTGCCCACTGCACATCTGTCTGGCAGCTGGTCGTGCCCTGCCACATCCTCCTGATGCAGAGCACACCTGTTCCAGCGCACACCTCCAGACACTTCCAGTCTAATCAGCAGTGCCTGCCGCTGGCTGAGAACTTTATTTTTATAGTGTGTCTGTTTGTGTTAATCATGTCTTTTGACTTTCACAACAGTTCTGTGATGTGAGCAAGGCTGGTGTCATCATTCCCATTCGATTGATGAATAAACTGAGTCTCAAGAAGTTATTTCTCCAAGGTCCACAAAACTATCAACAGAGCCAACACCAGAACTTAGATGCTGTGACGCCACACTGCCTCCTGCAGTCTGAGACACTCACACATTCTGAGGGGCCAAAGGGTCAAAGGACTTTCAGAGACACAGAGAAACCTTAAAAAAAGGCATATGGCTATTGAGGAAACAGTAAGCTCTGGGAGGAGGAGAGCTGATGCAGGTTTCTTTAGTGGGTGGTCAGTATCATCAACATTTGAGTGCTCCCCATGCACCAGGCACCGTGTGCTGTGCCCCAGGGGCATTTCCCATTTAATCTGCCTCACAACACCCTGGTGAAATAGGGGCCATTGTTACCCACGTTTTAGTGGTGACGGAAATACAGGAGGATGCAGGAGCGAGCTCAGAGCTCCCCACCTCAGAGTGCCAGCACCTGGGTTCGGATCCCAGCCGTAGACCCACACAGCTGAGTCTTTGGTTTGGGGCCGCAGTGCACTTTAAGGGCGGCTCGTTGGAATCTCGCTGGAAACACGGCCCTGTTTCTGAGCGAGCCTCCGGCAGGGTTCAGCCAGCAGCTTGATGCTCTCATTGCATCTCAGAAGCTTCATGGGAGCGAGTGCCCCCTTTCTCCGTCCTCCTTCCCTTTGGCTCTCCTTTTGTTCCGAGGCCACTGCCATCTGGAGCTGCCCCAAGCATCTGCTCTCAGCTGTGTCCTCCGCCCGCCCCAGCGTGAGGCACCCTCCCTCACTCAGACTAATCTCTCCCCTCCGTCCTCTCCCTCACCCCCGGCGCTTCAGCTCCCGCTCCTCTCCAGGCAGAGGAGCAGACACCTGCCGTCTGACGCAGGGCAGGGAAACCACCCACTTCCCGGGGCTTCGGTTTCCCACATGGATCCATCTGGCTAATTGCACCCACACTCCTAAGTCCCTCTGCGTGTGGGTGGGAAGCTGGGCTTTCTCTCTCCAGAAACATTACAAAAGGCCACCACAGACAACGGACAGTGTGGCTCAGGACACACAGCTGTGGGTTGATTGGGGAAGGGCCCTGCCCCGCCCCTTCCCTGGGACAGATTCCAGGCCCTCGCGGCAGCACCCATGCCCAGCCCCCTTCCCCTGTGGGGGCTGAGACCTGCAGGGCCAGGTGCGGGGACGTGGGTGGCAGCAGTGAAGGCTTGTCCCCTTATAGCTTGTGCTGTCTGCCTTGTTAATGCTGAAGCGATGCAGTCATTTCTCCACCTGTCTCTGCCTTTCCTGCTGGCCCACTGAACCCACCTTGTTACCAAAGGCTGGGCTGTCCCGCTCTGAGTTTCTGTTTCTATAGGAGGACCACAGACTATAGCAGAGGGAGGCCCTCCTACATGCTGGTGTTCGAGCTTACTCAGGGCACAGGACACAAAGCTTTCCTCTGCACCGCTGGAGCCAAGTGTCTTCGGTGTAAGCGTTGTAGCTGCCAGGACTTTGTACCAGACTTCTAGACAAATAGTGCACCTTATAATGCAGGACTTTCCCGTCTGCTCTCCCTCCCCTCCTCCAGGCTCCTGTATTTTCACACCTCCTGCAGCCCGTGGAAGCCTGCCGGGATGCCAGTTGGATCCAGACTGATGTCTGTGTTGGATGTAAATGCAGAGAGCTGGAGGGAGGCAGGCTGCCACTCCCTCCTGCTGTCTCAGTCCTTTCCTCCCTATATCCGCTTATCACGTCAAACAGGAATTTTAAAAATGCAACTGGGGGTGTGCTGTCCTTGGACTATCAGCCGCTAGGCCAATATTGACAGCAGGATGGAAGTCGCCTCCGAAGAATTGACCCAGCTCCCTCTCTGGGGCCGACTCTGGCCACGTGCAGTTGACGTCATAGGTCATGGGGCATTGGTGGAAGGAGTGGGTGTGAATAAGGGGCGGGGGTCTCCAGGAGTGTGAAATGCTTTGGTTCAGGCGACCGTGGCAGAGGCAGGAGAGAGGGGAGCCCAGGGCTGCTCCGGGGCCGGGATCTTGCAGGAGCCTTGCCCTCTCTGGTCCAACGTAGACAGCGCCTGTGCAGATAACAGTGTGTTGGCTCTAAGAATGAGTAATGCCTCCTTGGCCCCAGGCGCTAAGATATCGTTATTTGCACAGGCATTGTGTGTTTTGTAGGTCTGCAAAGTGATTTGTAGGTTTGAAAGCCCAGCTTGTCCAAAGCCATGTAGCAAAACAGTTCACCAGCTGCAACTGGGGGGAAATGAGAAAGGACCAGGGGGGTTCGAGTGCTGGGTTTGCGCCAGGCCTAGGGTTAGATGCTACACATACACGTTAGCTCCTTAACTCGTTTTAAGTAAACTAAATTAATTCATTTAATTAATAATTGTCACAAGTGCCTTGTAATAAGTCAGTTGTTTATCCCACTCTTAAAGACAAGAAAACTGAGGCTCTGGGAGAGAGTAAACCAATTGCTAAAGGCCACACAGCACGTAAACGGCTGAGGTGGGACTGAAACCCAGGTGTGTGGCTCCAAGCCCCTGCCCCGGCCACAAGCCGGGGGATCGTCTGGGACTTCCTCTGGAAGCTGCCTCTCTGAATCCGCGTTGGGTGTGCTTCCCCTGGTCTGCATGACTTCCTAGCTGGCTCGTGTCCGCTCGCTGGTAAAGCCCAGCCCTGCTCCGCTTTGAGCTGGCACTTGCTTCTGTGAAGGGAGCACAGGAAAAAGGTGGGAGCCACTGCCCTCGCCCTCACAAAGCTCAGAGTCTGGTTAAAGGCTGCAGGTCGGCTCCCTTTAACCCACCACTCTTCTTTTCCTGCTTGAGCTCAGCGCGCTGTTTTCAAGTGGCTTTAGAACGTAGGTCTGTTGAAACCAGGCTTGGAATCCTGCAAATAAAGGGCAGAGTGAGCAGCTTGACACGAGTGACGTCATGAGCAGGGTCCTCAGATGGACTGCGGCCTGGACTCCAAATGGACGCCCCGCTCAGGGAGCCTGGGAGCCCATCGGCCAGTGCCCGGGTGAGGAAGCCAGGGTTGGAAAGAAAGATGGTGGGGTCTGTGCCGCCGTCGCCCTTTGGAAAGCTGCTGAGAGAGCTGGAGGCCCAGGCTGCCCTTTCTGCACGCCCCTTCTACAGCATTCTGCAGTTTACTACAGAGGTCGGGACCAGACAGCTTGTGACTTTCTCAAGGCGCCAGACAAGAACTGAGCCCTAGGTCTTTTTTTTTTTTAATCAACATTCAGTGTGTTAACGCTATAGACC